TCGCGGATTGGAACTTAGTCCAATCGATGTTACGGGTTAGATCATACGCGACGTTAACGGATTCTGACGAGTTGAACCCACTGGCAATCGAAATTTTGATCGGCAGATGATCACTACCGTGCGGATCCTGGATTACATGCCAAGTGCAATCCAACGATAGTGAATTGGAGCAAAAGGTGAGGTCTAATCTGCTACCATTCGAGGATGGACCAGCCAAACGTGTTACTTCTCCATTGTTAAGGATTGTCATGTTGAAGTTGTCGCAGAGATCATAAATCAAAGTAGAACGGTTATCATCGTACAGCTCCCCCCCAGCCTGTACCGTGGGAGTTAAAATCTCCCATGATCAACCATGGAGCGGGAAGTACCGCACATATGTCGAAAAGTTGTTTGCGATTAACAGAGACTCTAGGAGCAATATATACAGAAGCAATACAAAGGCTCTTACCTTTAATGGTAGCCTGACATGCGACAACTTCAATACCGGGGAATTCGGGAAGATTCACTCTATAGAAGGAATGGCACTTTTTGATCCCCAAAAGTACCCCTCCTCCACGTGAATCCTCACGATCCAATCGAATAATGTTAAAATCAAAAAAAGGGAGATCAATTTCTGAAGAGAGCCATGTTTCACAGAGGGCAAATGCATCGCAATTATTGTTATGGACTAAATACTTGAAAGAATCTAATTTCGGAATAAGACTTCGACAATTCCACTGTAGAACAGTGATCAAATCCCCGACCTCGTTTGGAAAATTATCCATCGAAGGAGATGATAGCTGCAAGAAGGGGCCATTTTGAAGTCAATTGCTTCAAGAAGGATTTCACAGTCGGAAGCAATGTGAGGACAATGCTTTTCAGAGGATCAGAAATGTTGAGGTATTTGAGAATACCGTCCACAATGTCATCAAATGAGAACAGCCCAGATGAAGAAGGGGTTTCTGTTCTTAAAATTGGGGCATCAGGGGTTTTGGATGTCCCCGGAAGAGGTGGAAAATCCTGGGTATAATCAGTTCTGCGGAATCCTGGAGGAGTAGAAGTCTCCTTTTTTCCACCACTCCTTGATTTGGGCAAGCTGATTTGGGGTTCTTGATCTGCAACTTTCCGCGAACGGATGCGTTTTCGTTTCCGGGCAGAACCTTCCGGAAAACTGAAAGAAACTCCCTCCTCAGCCAAGTCAGAGCCAGACTCGTCATCTGACAAAAGAGCGAAGGGATTTGTTTCGTTGGTCGATGGCTTGGCTGTCTTAAGCATTTCTGCAAAAGACCGCCTGGAACGTTCCTTAAGGGAGCGTTTCATTTTGTCCCCGAGCTGTTTGTACGCCGGGCACGACGAGAGAGCATGAGGAGGAGTTCCATTGCAGTACACGCATTTTGGTGCAGTAGCTGCGCAGGCGCCATCCTCATGCTTCTCCCCGCATGTGGAGCAGCGTGCCTTGTTGCCGCAGTGGGAGGCCGTATGTCCCAACCGCTTACAATTCCGGCAGTTCATGACCCGAGGTACAAACAACCGCACAGGAAGACGAAGTTTTCCCAGCTCGATGTATTGAGGAAGGGCAGATCCAGAAAAGGTCACCCGAAACGAGTCTGTGGGGGTAAAACTCTTTTTACCCTCGCTGAGCGATACTGACTTCATTCTATGAACGGCCAGTATCTTTACCGGAGGAAGCAAGGGGTTCTTGAATCGGCCAACTGCTTGCTTCTCCAGTATCTCGGGGTTCAGGCTCGCCTCAGTGACGGCTTTACTTCCGAAGGGAGGAGTTATCAGAGATTTTATGCCTCAGAAAATCCCGGATGCGCCTACTGGAATTGAACCCAGGCCCTTTGGAGTGAGAAGCAATCACGCTTACCACTACATCACATTTCGTTCGTGTTAACAGTGCTTCTATTTTATTCGATAAACGCAGCTTGAGCAAAAAAGACAGCTGAGCGTAACATTAATGATTCTGAGTGTAGTAGTGTGGATGATTCCAACATACTGTAAATCTGCTGTACCCAATCCAACTGATTTAAATCACTAAGCCAAAAAAATCGTTAGCGTTTGACTTTTTTTTAATTCTTTATTAAGGAGATTTTTAGCCTATTGCGGTTCGACTTTTACGCATTAAATCGTACATATTGTTCGGCTACCTTTTTTTTCGCTTTGTTTCATTTTCATTTCATTTTCATTTTATGATGTACAAGGGGGTCAGGGGCCATGTCACCGATGTGAATATTTACACTACACCATCCATAATACACTAGGGAGGGGAGAGGAGTGAGTAACACAGCATCTTTACCCATGGGGGTTAAAAAAGTTCTGCGAGGTACACTTATTGTTAACCAGCTGCTCAGGGATTGTAGAAAGGAAAACGGCTGGGTAGTTTTAAAATGCAGAATTAGATGCCGTCGTGATTGAATGCGCATGTTTAAATAACAGGTACCTATCACCATTTACACTTTGAATCAACTTACACCAACATAATAATCTATTAAGAAACACCTTAAGATAAAGCTCAAAAATACAGTTTCAACTGATGGTACTTTATAAACATCAAACTGCCCAATATTGGACCCTGACAACACACGGCGCCTGCACGGTAATGTGGGCCGTCAGAATGGTTCATCGGTTGCGAAGTGAAGTGCTTCTCAAACTGAAGCGATACATTTTTTCAATTTTTCAACGTTATCCTAACGTAAACTTAATATTATCATCCATAATCCATACCCAAACCCTTCCACCACAGAAAATCAAATAAAAATGCTTTTGTATGGCAAACACGTCCAGACATAAACGAGAATATGGGTGTAAATAAAGATATACACTGTATATCTTCACTGTAACAACTACGGGTAATCATCGAAAGTACTTGCATTTGTAGCATCCCAGATAGTAACATAATACATTATCCTCAAGCCTTCATTAGCTTATGCTCTCAGGCTGTAAACATTCCCACAGTACAGAAATCCTTACATTGACACATTTGACAAAAACCAGACATTCCCACATTCCAAATAAAATGTTCACATACTCCAGACCATTGCCTACGTGGAGTTTTACAATTGATTGCTTAGCAGCACAAGTGCAAAACACCACTTCAAACTAAAATTATTGCTAAAGCATTTTCCCATGTAACACATAATTACGACCCACGTTTTCGTCACCTCAAGACAAAACCAAATACAGATTCCCACACAGCAAGACGCAATTTGACTCTGCCTTCTCCAAACCACATTTGTTCCCATACACGACTAATAGCCAACCAATATTTATTGCATACGCACCGATATGTTCGACCAGCACCAAGCGCATCATGTTACACGTGCTGGCGCCGGACTCTCTTTCTTACTTTGCGTCAAGCGCTTTACGGATAAAACTTCTTACTGAGCCCCTATTGGTTGAGCCATAATTTTAGGCAACTCCAAGCGTCTCTCTCTCTAGAGCAAATAACATTGTAGAGATATTTTACTATGTAGAGTTTAAGTAACTTGTAACCAAAAGTATTGCATAATAAACCCGATTCTGTTTAAGCGTGATTAATTATTTGAATCACGTCCATGTCTTTGCATATTACACATTTTACTCAGGTACTTTTGAGCAAACTCATACTCGAAATGTGCCACGACCAAATTGGCACAACGACCCTATACGCTATCTGACCAAAGCGCAGGACTTCCTTTTTTTCGCTAGGTTTGTTTCAAATTCAAATTAAATTATATTTCATTTTAACCTAGGTGCACCAGCTACTACAGACACTTTTTTTTTTCCTTGGATTTGCCGATCTTGTTTTCCGTGCTGAGCACCAATGCTACCGACGCCAGGAAGGCAGCTCCCACACCTGGACCCTACCTATAGACCCATAAACTCATGAACCGGGGACCAACGGCTTTACTTCCCTTCCGAAGGAAGGCGTGATCAGAGATGTTATGCCTCAGAACATCCCGGCGGCACCGACTGGGATTGAACCCAGGCCTTCTGTGGTGAGAGGCAATCACGCTTACCACTACACCACCGGCGCCGCTACTACAGTAACTTAGCAGCCTTAATTTTTATGATATGCCAACCTCATAATTTTTTGAATTTCTCTCATTTATTTGGTTCAAATTAAAGCAAACACACTGTAGTCTTTTTTGATACCTTATTTTTTATATTCTTTCAAAGTTTCACTTAAGGAACACAATTTGTATTGAAAAAAAAACAGGCAAAAAAAAAGTTCCAACTACCCAGTAACACTTCGGAAATTTCGAATTATAAATGTGCTGTAACCAGCCGGTTAATTTCCGGCAAGCGCTTCCTATAATTTGATATTCCGTGCACGCAAAATTCAGCATATTTGTAGTTCTGTGTCAAAATTGATCATAACAAAACATAGTTACAACATGCCAAAGTTGGCTATTGTGCTATTTTCATGGCCAGTACTGTAGATTAAAATGAAATGTAATTTAATTTGAATTTGGAACAAACAAAGAGTAAAAAAAGAGTTTTACGTTTATATGTTTATCCTACGTCAACCTTCCGTTCGTGCCCCTTGGCACACACTCTTCTACTTTTTTGTTGATAATGCAGTGGAAAGGACACCATGATATTTACCTTTAAGAAATCCACAGGTTTTCCGAACACACAATAATGGCAAAATCAAACTAAAAGAAGGAATCAATTTTCACATGTTATTGTTAATTAATGTCATCACAGACAAACAGACATAACTCTCGAATACTTTTCATCGAATGAGCAATTAACGGTCATTTAAAGTTCTCTTCGTAGGACCACCTTGACGTTTGAAATTTAAACACTACCGCAATCCGTTGAGCGCGCTACCCAAGATAGTGAACTTAACAGATGGAGATAGTGTTTTAGCGACGGTGTTTTCTAGTGATAAATATTCCATGTGCTACGTCTGTTTGTCTGTGCTGTCATCATTATCGTCAGTACCTATTGTACTGCCTTTATACGGATCCAGGTTCTATGCAATCAATGGAGGGGGGAGGGAATGTGATATTAAATGATTTTGCGAGGCATAATAGTTTTTTGAATACACATTTTAATGTAAACAGTTGAAAAAGATAGTAATAGTGTATTACAAGCTTGCATATCAGTTCAACATTGTAAATCTGCAACATTTATATGATATAAAACATTTAATATAATTATTCACAAATTTTGCAATTATCATTTCATCGACTGTCCTAAATCTGTTCCCGGAAGCATCTTCCAACGGTCAACAACAAAATTTAGGTCACTACACCTGTCTTTTCGCTCGCAGTCACTAAATTAAAAGCCCCAAAGCAACGTCGGTATTCACGGCTGGCGGAATCGAAAAAAATAGGTCAACTCATAAATCGTCCCCCCTTCCAGTTCATTAGTCCGGACGCAGGCTTCCTCTTCAACCGCGACCTTCTTGTGAAAGTACCCTATTCGATGTGAGAAAGAAAATATAGAGCTACCTACATATCGGCACGAAAGAACACATGACCAGCAACATGTCAGATTTGCATAATTATATAAGCCTCAGGCGTTGCTTAAGAATCGCGTACCTATGCTTCATTGATTTGGTTTGGGTTGGTTTTGGTCGTTCGTTTTCGCTTTTTGTTTCATTCGTCTTCCGCGTGATTTTTCGAATAGACTATCGGTCAGTTGCATTGGTTGAGGAAAAGAAGAAATTTCGACTTCAAAACACGAGCTTTGCTAATTTGTAATCAATAATGATAGACATGGTAAATTGATTTTCTTCTAATTTGAATGACCAAAAAGCAAATGACAAGCATTATTAACGTAGCGGTGGTGACTGAAATTTTGGAAAATGTCTGTAGTAATTCTGGAAATAGGTCGTAACAACATATACACACGTGCTCTATCTACTACGTTAACAGCGAGTAATTTTCTAACAGATTATCTATACACAATACTGGTTGATAGCGTACATACTTAGACGTTGAATCTGGTTTCGGATCCATCGGCGAGCATTAAAGTGACGGTTCGGTTATTGATCCAGATGAGTTTGGCCAAACGCATTGGGTTTAGCCGAGCAACATCCGGAATCGGTGCCGTCGAATATCCTTTGATGCATCTAGTCTGCGACTGACCCAGACCAAACATGCCGGTACTGGTTTGCCAGAATGACAACCGATTCTCCGAACATGAATAGCTAACCAAAAACTTACCATCTGGACTGAATGCGAGGGCCGTGACGGGCTTCGTGTGGGCCGGTATCATTTGACACTTGTTCTGACGTAGCTCGTAGATAGCCAAGTGACCATTACTAGCTCCAACTGAAAATCGGTCAATTTGTTAAACGTAATGCTTATAAATTTCCAAAGAAAATTACCAGAAATTCGTCTTGAAGCACCGCAGTGAGATACTTGATTGAATTTACACATCGAGGGACTGACTTCAGCCAGGCCTTTGTTTTTAAGATCTCCGGAATCAACACAATGAAGAGTTATGTCCATGACCTAGAAATGAATAGTAAAATAAATAAATAAATAAATAAATAACATACACTATACAAATTATGCACGTCCATTAGGGTGTCCAAAACTAAACTTTTTTTCAATTAACTTGCTCATGCAGATAGATTATATAATTGGTAAATCTTCAAAACATTCTGGTGCCCGACCCGCTAGGCACCCCCATAGACTATTTTACGAAATGATAGGAGCCAGTTTGCCAGACAGTAATTGATGCTATTGGTGTTGCTTCTCACAGCCGTTAGGTAACTGCCTCATGTCAAAGTTCATTCATGAGTTGAATCATAATCGTTTCATAAAATGCTCTGTTAGCGACGCCAATTTGGCACAAAACAATTTTTTTTCGAAAGGGCGAATGTTTGAACAGAAAGTTCGTCATTTTGCCGAAGGACGTTTCGCTGCCAAAGAGCTTTCTTTCAAACATGCGCAGTTTTTCCGAGATTTACAATATTAATAATAATTTTTTTTTTTTATCTAGTTCGTTTATTTGGAAGGCTCAATCGCGTTAGCTTTACGGAGCCGATAATTCATTGTTCACTGTGTGTAACAAAATTCACTTAATTCTATGTCTAGTAGGAGTTGGGCCGATTACTCGCGGCTTACTCGAGGTTACAAGGGTACATTTTCGAAGGATAGGATCAGGGGAGGAGCTTGGGGTAGGGTTTCGTTGTCTCATCAGAGCGTTGTCGCCAGTATGAACGGTAGTGCTGTTCTAGCTTCGTCCGGAGTTCGACCGGCTATGGTGGGTGACCAGTGGGCGACGATGAGACTCATCGAGACGGGGGGACAAGACAAACAAAAGCTAATAAAGAGAGACAAAAGACAAAAGGAATTAAATTCTTATACTAGACATTTGAAGAAAAACATAAACGGACTGCATATAGCAGAGATCACGGGTTGCCAACACGTCTCTGATAGGAACATAGGGTTGTCTTCCTTGGGCCTCGAGGGTATTCAAAAGTCGCTCTCTGGCGGCGTCATTATCCGTACATTGCCAAACTGCGTGTTCGATGTCATCGTAACCGTTTCCACACCGACAGATGTTGCTGTCCACGAGGTTTATTCTATTGAGATGAGCATCTAGCGAGTAGTGGTTGGACATAAGTCTACTCATCACGCGAATGAAGTCACGACTTAAGTCCAAGCCTTTAAACCACGCTCTCGAAGAAACATTAGGAATAATTGAATGTAACCACCGTCCAAGATTTCCAGTGTCCCAATCGGTTTGCCAACTCGAAAAGGTACTCTGACGCACTAAATGGTAAAATTCATCGTGTGAAATTTGCCTGTCATACAATTCGCCTTCCTGCGCGCCCACCTTTGCGAGAGAGTCCGCCTTCTCATTGCCTGGGATTGAGCAATGTGAGGGGACCCATACAAAGGTAATCATATATGATCTTTCGACCAGCACACACATCTGCTCCCTTACCTTTGAAAGGAAATAAGATGAGTGCCTACCTTGTTTCATCGACCGAATAGCCTCAATCGAACTGAGACTATCCGAGAAGATGAAGTAATGGTCTGCGGGCATGTTGGAAATCATCCCCAATGCGAAGTTGATTGCTGCCAGCTCAGCAACAAAAACGGAACAAGGTTCCTGGAGTTTGCGGAAGGCGCTAGAGTTTTCATTGAAGACACCGAAGCCAGTGGATCCACTGAGACGAGACCCGTCTGTAAAATATCTTTTCATGCAATTGACTTGTTGGTACTTTTCAGTAAAAATACGCGGAATAATAAAAGGTCGAAGTTGATCGGGAATCCCATGAGTTGCTTGTTTCATGGTCAGATCATATTCAATTGAGGAACTGCGATTGGTGAAGTGAACACGGTCTGGAGTATAACAAGGAAGACACATATCTGATGATATGTAGTGGTGGTAGATTCTCATAAATCGAGATTGTGTGTTCAGCCCAAGAATTTCTTCAAAATTTGCAATTATAAGTGTGTTTGTCACTCCGCATTTGATTAGTATTCTGAGAGAGAGCTCCCAGAAACGGTTCTGGAGGGGTGTTACTCCTGCCAGAACCTCGAGACTCATGTTATGCGTTGAGTGCATACAGCCTAGAGCAATACGCAGACAACGATATTGAATTCGTTCCAATTTTATTAGGTGACTTTTTCTTGCCGAGAGAAAGCAGAAAGACCCGTACTCTAGAACAGAGAGAATAGTTGTTTTATAAAGCGTTATGAGGTCTCCCGGATGAGCACCCCACCATGTGCCGCAAATTGAACGGAGAAAGTTGATCCTCTGCTGACATTTTTGCTTCAAATACGTAATATGGGCATTCCAAGTGCACTTTGAATCAAACCAGACCCCAAGGTACTTGAAAGACAATGATTGGGTAATGTTTCTGCCCAAAAGATTAAGATGCATTTGGGCTGGGTACCGCTTTCGAGTAAACACTACCAGTTCAGTTTTCTGCGGCGAGAATTCGATCCCTAGATTCATAGCCCAAGAAGACAAGTTATCTAAGGAATTTTGCAATGGTCCTTGCAAGTCCACGGCATGTGGACCTCTTACGGAAACCACACCGTCATTTGCAAGTTGTCTTAGCGTGCATTGTTCTGCCAAACAGTTGTCGATATCTTTGACGTAAAAGTTATAAAGAAGAGGGCTGAGACATGAGCCTTGGGGCAGGCCCATGTAGCTAATTCTGGAAGTTGTCAGTTGTCCAAGGGAAAAGTTCATTTGCTTTTCTGACAACAAATTGTACAAGAAATTATTTAAAATTCCGGAAAGTCCACATCTGTGCAGATTGTCTGACAGAATTTCAATGGAAACTGAATCAAAAGCCCCCTTAATGTCCAAGAATACTGAAGCCAATTGCTCCTTGTGCGCAAAGGCCAGTTGAATATCTGTGGAAAGCAGCGCTAGACAATCGTTTGTTCCTTTGCTCTTGCGGAACCCAAACTGTGTATTTGATAGCAAGTTATTTGATTCGACCCAGTGATCGAGTCTCCGAAGGATCATTTTCTCCAACAATTTCCTAATACACGAAAGCATAGCAATCGGACGGTATGAGTTATGGTCAGACGCTGATTTGCCAGGTTTTTTAATGGCTATTACTTTGACCTGTCTCCATTCAGGCGGTACAATGTTGTTTTCTAGCAAGGAATTGAATAAATCTAGCAAGCGTCTTTTAGCAATATCTGGGAGATTTTTCAGAAGAATGAATTTAATCATATCGCTTCCCGGTGAGGAGTTGTTCGATGAAAGAAGAGCCATAGAGAAATCCAGCATTGAGAATGGTCTATCCAGAGAGCCGCCGCTAGGAGACGCTTCTCGAAGAATATTTTGTGCTGGAACTGAGTCCGGACAGACCTTTTTAGCGAAATCGAATATCCATCGGTTGGAGTATTCTTCACTCTCATTGAAAGATGAGCGGTTACGCATGTTGCGAGCCACCCTCCACAAGGTGTTCATTGAGGTTTCTCGTGAGAGTCCCTCGACGAAATTGCGCCAATAACCGCGTTTTTTTGCTTTGATTAATTGTTTCAGCTTTGTCTCAAGCTTTGAATATTCCTCGAAGTAAGTGGAGGTTTTGTGTCTACGAAAAGCTTTGAAAGCATCAGATTTTTCTACATACAATTTTGTGCATTCTTCGTCCCAACCAGGTGTGGCTGGTCTCCTTTTAAAGGGTGCACTTGGAACTTTTCTTTTTTGTGCTTCCAGTGAGCTTTTGTAAATCAAATCGGCTAGGAATCGATATTCTTCCAATGGTGGAAGCGCATCTATTGATTCGACACCGATTGTCACCGCCGTTGCATATTTCTGCCAGTCGATGTTCCTTGTAAGATCAAATGGAACCCGAGATGGTTCTGCAGAGTGAGGGCCACACTTAATTGAAATGATGATTGGCAAATGATCGCTACCATGGGGATCATTGATAACCTTCCACTGACAATCCAATGATAGCGATCTTGAACACAAAGATAGGTCGAGTCGGCTTTCTCGAGCCGGAGGTTTTGCTATACGTGTCGCTTCACCAGTGTTCAAAATAGTCAAATTGAAATCGTCACATAAATCGTAAAAAATAGCCGCTCTATTGTCGTCATATAGATCGCCCCACCCAGTACCATGGGAGTTCATATCACCCAGAATTAATACTGGGGATGGAAGAATCGAAACTAGATTCCAGAGTTGACTACGGCTAATGGAGGTTCTTGGTGGAACGTATACTGAAGCTATGCAAAGATCTTTGTTCTTCACATTTATTTGGCAAGCGACGATTTCGACGCCTGATAGAGCAGGAAGGGAAATTTTGTAGAAAGGGTAGCACTTTTTGATCCCTAAAAGTACTCCTCCATAAGAATCGTCTCTATCCAGGCGAATAATGTTAAAATCGTGGAAGTTGAGTTCTTTATCGGAAGAAAGCCATGTTTCACAGAGAGCAAATATATCACAATCAGAATTGTGAAGTAAAAATTTGAACGAGTCTAGTTTAGGCACTAGACTACGGCAGTTCCACTGTAGCACAGTGATCATATCTTCAACCTCGTTCGACGAATTATCCATCGAAAGATATGATTGATGCAAGGAGGGGCCATGAAACAGTCAATTGCTTAAGATATGATTCTAATGTTGGAAGCAAGGCAGAAACTAAGCTTCTAAGAGGGTCTTGTATGTTGAACATATTTATTATGAATTCCACAATGTCCGAAAAAGCTAGCAAACCGTGTTCGGACTTGGATTTCTTTTGAGAAGTTTGAGGAGCAGCTTTTTTGTTTTTCTTTTCTTTGTTGGGTAATGGCGGAAAATCCTTACTGCAGCCAGGAAGTGGAGCAGTAGGAGCCTTCGATTTAATTTTTTCAGCCCCATTACCCTGGGAATTTTGCAATCCTCTGGGAGTGACTTTAGTTTTCTTACGGCGCACTTTCGGGGAGGAGCATTTTCGTTTTGAGGATCCGTTCGTTTTCAAAGGTGCGTGTACCACCGTAGAGTCACCCTCATCGGATGAGTCAGAGTCCGATTCTTCAACTGACAAAACCGAAAATTGGTTTGCATCTTGGACGGCTGATGCAGCCTTCAACATTTGAGCATACGTCTGCTTGGAGCGTCCAGAGATTGAACGCTGCACTTTATCGGAGTGCTGCTTGTACATCGGGCACTCCTGCAAGGGGTGAGGATTCTCGCTACAATAAGCGCATTTTACTGATTCTTTGTGGCAAGAATCCTCTTTGTGGTTTTCACCACATTTGCCACAACGAGTTTTGTTGCCGCAATGGCTGGCCGAGTGTCCCAGCCTTTTGCAGTTGGTACAATTATATACCCTCTGTACAAACAACCGCACCGGAAAAAAAGCACCATCAACTTTGACAAAGTTTGGGAGAGCTGAACCAGCGAAAGTCACCCGAAACGAGTCTGAATGCTGATAAACTTTCTTGTCATCTTGCAAAGATACTGAATGCAGTTGCCTAACATCCAGTATCTGTACCTGCTGACCGATTTTCGAGTTTTTGAAGCAACCCGATGCTCGTTTTAAATCCTCGACACTCAGACTCGCGTCGGAGACCACACCTTCTATCTCCACATCTCGAGAAGGGATGTAGATGTTGTACTCAACACTAAACAGCTCATGTTCAGCAATTTTATTTGCCACATCATAAGTCGGTGCTTCTACACGCAGTTTATTGAATCTCTCCTTATGTACCAAGATTCCCGGATACTTCCGCAGCAAGTCTCTCGAAATGTCGAGAGTTTTCAAAGGTTTATTTTTAGGCCGAAAAAAGACAACCCATGGTCCTTTCGAAGACGGTTGGTAGTATTTAGTTCGCGCAACGTAGGTATCCGAAGACGCCATGAGTGTTGCGCAAAAGCGGTGCACAACCGCTTAAAAAGGAAAGAGAAAAAAAAACTAAAAAAAAAAACCCTTCACCAATTAAACTACTTAACTACTAGATGTTAATATTTTGTTGCCCAGTGTATAAACAACCAAGCAAAACAAAAACAAAATTATCAAAAAAAAAAAAAAAAAAAACTTTTCACTAGTTGCAAGAAGTTGCACCACTATAGCCCTCACAACCCTATCAGGGGAGAGGGCAAAGCCACGCGCAAAATTGCATAACAAAAGCGCGGCAATGGGCTAGAGAAGACTATTGTATAGTAGGTATACTTAACACCGGCCGGTGCCGGCTGTGTGAGCTGGTGCAGCCACTCCGTTTGCTGCTTTGTTGTTGTTGCTTGCTGCTTTGGAGTGGTGATGAGATGATGACGGTGAGATGATAGTCCACCTATAGCGTCGCTAAAGGTGGCTACTTCCTCTGCTGACTGCGGTTGCCTTGGGCACTGAACTTCGTCCACGGTAGGTAAAACGCGCGATATAAAAAACCACTATGGTGGGAAAAAAAACTCCACCGGCTACGAAACCAATACCCGCAACGGAGACACGAACAAACTACGTCCGGCTACTTCAAGCTATCGGCGAGGAATGGATAATAATTATTATAATTGTAAACATTTTTGAGAACTTTGAACACTTTTGAATGTTTGAAGAGATTATTTTTTGCATTTTTAAAAGTTGCAAAATTTAATAATTTAAAGAATTTCTTCCTTCTACATTTGAGCAATCCTTCTCAGATCTACCATTTTTTGAATACTTTGGTGAACTAAGATGGGTAGTTTTTCTTTCTAATTCAATAGTCCATGTTATTGTTGATCTTGTGGATGAAACTAATAGCACAGACAAACAGACATAACACTCATAATCACATTCATCGCAAATAATCTTTTAGTTGGGAATGTGCTTGCATTTGTCATGGTGGCGCCACTGAAGCATTGAGCAAGCCCCCACATTTCGAACTTATCAGTGATGCCAGTTCTTTTTCACGTCTAGTTAGTAGATGTCAGCTCTTGAAAATGATAAGTGGTCAAGGCATCCACATACCACATCTGACGAATACAGACAAAAAAGTTGTTGAATATTACATCAACACTACTGCACATCTGAGTACTGCGGAGTAAATCCATTTCATTTTGCAAGCCAATGGAAAGCTCAAGTTTAAAATTGTTTTGTTCTTTCTCAGTTGATTCCCACCAAAAGCTCTGAGCCAGGAGTGCTCGAGCCCCCATGACTCTATCAAAGTTTGTTTACATACATGTTTCGCCAAAGTATGTTTTACTGTAATTGAAAACACAGCTGAGTCATAAAAACTATGCTGGTTTTTATACTTTCATCATTGAGCCTGTTGGTTTTTGTCTTTGAGCTTACAATTAATAATGTGTTATGAAAAAGCATGAATTATTTTTATGAGATTGCAATGCTTGACGAGAGGTAAGAACAGTAACTGAGTTTGTTGCTTCTGAATGTTTGGTTCCCATTTGACAGTTCTGACTGGCTCCCAAGTGACAAGCACATTGAGTGAGTCCGCAGTACCCAGCTGCACATTAGTCATTCCGTTCCTAATATTACGTTGTACGATGTACACAGGATTCGAAAACAAATCATGTTGATGACTGTAATATTCTATAAATTTTTACCAGTTATTGATCTTCTACAGTGCGGATCTATTGGAATCTTTCTAGTAATAATATTAAAAGGTATTTGTAACACCATAGTACTCACCTCAACCAGCAAGTTGGCAATCTCTGTTTGCATCTTGTCGATCAGCATTTCGACGCACTGCAAAATTTCACGCTTGGCCCTATGCAATACCGACTGTGTAATCGGGACACTAATGGCCTGCGCATTCTGCTGCAGCGTGTTGTAGCGGGCGACCTCACGAGCCATCGTCGTAATAAATGCAGCTGGTCGTGCAGTAGCGATCAACCTCAACGCATGTCGAGCTGTTCTGCAGGCGTCGGCCTGAGGCGTTAGAGGAAGTTTGTAGTTCAAGCTGGGTATGAGACGATTCGAATCGCAGCACATTTCTAGCAAGCCCAGGAGAACTTTACTAACGTCGATATAGGGCTCCCATACAGTGAAGCCTCGTCCAATCAAATCTATAGCTGCTCTTCGCAATGGCGTGTAAGCTGGAAGTTTAGGCGTCGGTGGAGCTAACAGCAAATGTGTCAATGCCATCGATGTTGACCGAGCGAGGTTATTATTCCCAATTCCAAAGCCTTCAACAACAGAACTTTTCCTACGATTCTCGTTGTTTCGTTTACCATCAGATGAAGAAATATCCTGACCAAATTCAGCCCCAATTACACCCAGCAGTACAACCGCAGTGGTTTGCTTCCGTTTCAATTCAGCCAAGCTGGAAGGTTTACGTACAACTTCTTCCTCTTCTTCGGATTCCTCTTCTTGTGTTTCCATGGGCTGTCCTCCAGGAGTAGACACCGGTGAGCCGGAATTTGACTGATTGGTAGTTTGCGATTGCTGTACAATTGGTTCCGTGTGGGTATACATAGGAAGATATTGAGCCCAGCTCTCAACTAACTGCTTTCTGCCCTTCTTACCCATGCGGCCGAGTTCACCGAGCAGAAGCTGTTGAGCTGCTTCTCGAATTTCTAAGCAATGGTGCTGCCAACGACGAGCCATCATTTCAACCTGTGGTCGTTTGAAGGTGTTTGCATCCAAAGCATCTATTTTTTCTGGTAGCAGAAAACAGTGGTGGGTAGAGAGAAGGCTCCAACCTTGCTTGATCTGAGCCTGCTGTTGGGTGTAAAGCTCTTCCTGCTCTTCATCATTGGTCCAAGATGCGCGGGTAGACTGACGATGCAGTTTTCGATTGCGCTCTTGCTCCGGAATAAACGTTGCCATGTTCATGGACATCAGTGTATTCGACATAGAGATGAGCGCCAGTAGATGATTCGAAGTTAGAGTGGTGCTTAATTCCCAATGCAACCGAGCAGTAAACATACTGGTCAAATGTTGCTGACGCATCTGTTCGGCTGTTGACGAAGCTGTTCTTATTTCTTCAGGGGTTATTTTCATATCGATATTGTTCTGCCAAGTTGGAAGCAATAGCGACATGTAGCCGCCCTTCGACAACACTCCAAACGAAACTGGAATCTGGAATGTGATGATCAGAATATGTTGCAGAGTACGACACCTTGAACTCGGTTAAACTTACCATTGGCTTCAGCAAACCTAGCTGCGTTTCACATACTTTGTCCAGGTGTGGATCCAGTCCCCAAGAGTGTAACAGCGACAGGAGAAGTTGAGCTACTTCCATCACATGAGTGGCTTCCATTCGTGGAGCTATCTTTCTCGTGATATCGGTTGCATCTATAAAGGCATACGAGCGGTCAATCAAAATGTAATTCAATGGTTTCATTGTAAACATTTGAGACGTTTTTAGGATGCATCAGTGAATTGTAATCTTTCCTAAGACATATATGTTTTTATTCTTGCATTATTGTTAGTAGATGTTAGTATATAGGGGAAATGGCTCTAATGTTGGCCTATGGATCTAACATTGGGCCCATCGCTAAAAATCTGCTATTTATCAATGCGTCATTGGGACGGTACTAATGGATATTTTTGGTCGCTATTGAAAATTTAGTCGATTGCATAATTTATGTATGGGCCCAAATTAGGGGTATTTAGGCCGACATTACATCCGTTTCCTCTATCTGAAATTTGTATCTAATCCTTAAAAAGATCAAACAAATGGTCGAAGCAAGTAGTGATCTTGACTCTCTGAAAACAAAAACAGTTAATGCAGACACCCTCGACAACACCTGATGGTGGTGCAGTTTCTAATTCCCAGGACAATATTATGGCTTGAATCAAACAGATTCATGCGGCATTTCGTGGAAATCCATTTGGCCGAAACCTGATTCGCGGAATGACCCATTTGGCGGAAGTACATTTCGTGGAGTTCCATTTAGCGGGATATCCCGTTTCGCGGAATCACTTTTGGCGAAATGTTTGATGACTGAAGATGGTATTTTTAAAGCATTGGATCTTAATAAAAATCTAGGAGAATTTTCCTTCTTTGAAACATGAGTGGTGCTTTCTAATTTTCCTGTAATTGTGCACTTTGGGAAACTTCCTAATAGTTTCTGACTTGGAATGATGAAGGTGAAATCTGAATTCAATACATAATTCTAGGAATATTCTCCTTCTTTTAAATATGAGCAGTTATGTCGAATTATCCTGTACATTCTGAAATTTGGGAAAATTGTGATCAATATTTGTGTCGACAAACGGACATTTTTTATCAGAATATATTAAACTGTTGTAACTATTTTCGTACTGATGGTATATTAGTAAAATTCAAATCAAATATAAGATCTATGCTTTTAAAACAAATGAACAAAATCTCAGCTCAAAGAAGGTATGATCACTGACAAGCAGACATAACACTCTTAAAACCTTCATCGAAATCGTTTTTAACGGTCAATTTAAATGTTTCTTAGTTGGTAGTATCGCCACTTGTGGTGCACATAATCAATTCCCTTGCGTTTGACGTTTACACACTACAGCCATCTGTAGATAATGATAAATGTTCAATGTGTTGTGTCTATTTGTCTGTGATATAACATTGAGGTAACGTTAGGATAAAATCAAAACATTGAGAACTATAACGTATCACTTTCAGAAATATTTCACTTCGCAACTGATGAACCATTCTGACGGCCATATGAGTACCCAAGTAACCATATAGTCGCAATATAGCTTGTATATTCTTACTTTGCTTGACTATGGTTATTTGAGGAATCTGATGAAACTGTCACTTCTTGAAACTGATCCCTTTCGTATTTCTTTCATTCTCTTTTCGCACACGGAGCGCTCGGTGGAACAGCTACTTTGCACGTGAGCCTCGTTCCAGATCACCATGGCAATTCATTTCAATTCAATGAAACCGACCCAAAAAGGCGGAATCATATTAGAACCAATCAAGGACGATCTACGGAAGGAAATTGCCGGTGAAGCACGGGATGAAATACGAAGCGTTAGAGAAAAAGTCCAAGGGATTCCAAAAGAAGTAATCAATGACGGCGGAAGAGCAGAATATGGTGAGAGCTTTCCAATTATTAAAAAAAAATATCAAAATTAAACTAAATACATGCCAGGTTTCAAAAAATATATTTTCGAACCTGGAAGCGTGTATGTAATACCAATATCCATTTGATAACGGTGATGCATACATGCGGGGCTTATTGTAAGTAAAAGTAACATCGGAATGGGCGTGACTCTCCAGACATTCTGAAATGGGTTGCTGGATCTGCAATAGAGCTATCACCTTCTAACTCCCGGACTAAAACTGTCTACAATGACCATAAATGCGACATTGTAGAGAGAGTTCTTCCATAATAACACTGCCGGCCAGTTGGAGTTAGATTGAATACACACACACACACATGCCCAGACTAATCACCTATTTGGACTTTTTTTTTAGAAAACACAACATGTAGATTTTTCCTTTTAATTCTACTAGTTTTGTATCACTTTCACTAATTCACTTTCACTATCACTTTGAACTATAACAGATACGTATTTCTTCTAGTCATGCAAGTAGCAAACGAAATACGTATCTGTTATAGTGATAGTGAAAGGGATACAAAAGTAGTAGAATTACAATTATGCTACTAAAACGCTCATCAATCAATTTAAATTTAAACATAATGTAGATCAATTTGTACATACACAATTTTTGAAATATTTTTTCAAAAATAAAATTGAATTTGCTTATTATTACACCATGTGAGCTTTAACTTTTATCGTAGTACGAGTTGATTCCATGCTTGGTTTCCTCGGCGATTTATTTTTGTTCCACTGTTCGGGACATAAAACTACTTCGACCAGTAATTTGATCTATTGTATTGTAGCATATCCCGTGTCCTCAGTTTAGTGCATGTCGTATTACTCCATCACTATTGAAAAAATGATGAAGAATCGGTTTTGAAACAGTTGTCACTCTTGCCTTTATCGCAAGGAACCGATTCTAACTGAAAAGTCCCGCTATTTATACCCTTTGGAGTGTTGAAACAGCCTCCAAAGGAGCGCCCCTTTGTCAGTCAAAACCGGTTCCTTAGCAACAAAAATAAGCAATGACACCGATAATGACCATGCATCAGAACCCTAGTTTTAAACTTTCAAACTAGAGAACAACAAATAGAAGATTAAGAATCACATAGATGAAGACTAACTAACTAATTTTTCCATGTTTTATACCCCGTTCACATTACAGCGTATATCACGTGATATACGGTGTCTTGCAATGAGTACTCATACATCTAGTTTTCACTGGAAATCATATGTATGAGTGCTCATTGCAAGACAGCCTATATTACTTGATATAGGCTGTAATGTGAACGGGGTATTAAGTTCATCCTCTGTGGACAAAGTCGAGTATTTTCACCTATGAACAAGGCATAAAAAGTAAGAAGGACTAAGATGCGTTCCTTTGATTACAGAAAAAAACCTAAATTTCCAAAGAAAAATATAAAAACGTGTTACACCCATTGTCTACAAACTATTAAAACCATAAAAAACAAATACAATCCAAGTTCTTCAATACAAAACTTCAGTCTTTATTATATTTTTTTCTTAAAAGTATTTTTAATAACCTTTCATTTGATATTTTGTTCATTCAAATCGGTAGTGGTTATGGTTTAAAAAAATGTCATTTTTGAAAAAAAAAAATAAAAAAAAATTTCATTTTTGGAAAAAAAAAAAATGATTTTTTGGACAGCATGGAAATGGTCATTAGAAAAAAACGGGTCTAATATTTTTCGATAAGGAACAAAACTACCAATTGTTACGAAATTCTTAGGACCAGCCCGCCTATTTTTTCATTGCCCAGAAACAAATGAAAAAATAGCGTGAGTCAGAATGGCTGAATTCCAGCAAAAACTTGATCTATTGCCCCTAGTGAACAACTATACAAAGTTTCATAGAATTCGGAGAGGGTAAGGTTTGATCAATTCGTTAGTTGGCGTGGATCCGCTCAGCTTGCACGAACATCTTTCAATGAATGATACACAGCAATTGTCAGTGAGATTTCACACATGCCCTATTGAGAATTTAAACCAGAATGGTACCAGCTACCTATGTTTGCTCGCAGTGAGATGATAAATTGCTTTACTAACTACCGCAGGTGGCAATATGAATGCAGTGCACCCTCATGTAGTAGATATAAAAGTCATAACTCTTGTGGGTTCAGTCAATTTAATCCATTAAATTTGTAATCATGTCTGTTCTAACTAGTTTATATCTCATTATCAGTGCTTTATGTTTTCTTATAATCGTGACCACTGTACAGACAGTACAGCAAGGATTTGATCAAAAGCAGTCAGCAAGTCCGTGTAAGTTATAGAATCGAATCATGCATAAATACATATCATGACACATAAGAATTTTTTGTAATACCCATCAACAGACGTTCTGATAGGAAGATACAATTTTCAAGCTAAAGACGATAAAGGTGAATATTAACGCTGTTATTTACCGGAAACTTCGATTAAACCTATTCATGTTTTCAAACATGTTCGAGATTTGGCTGGTGTACTGCCGCTCTTTGCATGTCCGTCCCATAGCGAAAATCAGCAAACCGAGAAAATCGCATTTTAAGTTTGCTTCGTACCATTGCTTCTTATGTGATGGGACTACCTACCTGTCTTTCCAAACTATTTCAAAACAAAGTTTTTGAGAGTTGGTTGGAAATGCTAACATGAAGCTTTAGTGTGATGATTTATTAGCTAGAGAATGATCTTTAGAAGAGGGTAGGTGGATAGTTCTGTTAGAGCACGGCAGTATGAAAATTGAATAGAAGTTGAAAATGAGCGAAGGGCCATTAATGCGACAGTTTTTTGAAGATAGACGCATATCTTTTGCCTAACCCGTACGATGTACGCGGAGACTTGAAGTATGTCTCCAAGTCTACAGGCTACAAGTTTTTGAGTTCATCCAGTATTATAAAAAATGGGTTATTAGCTGCCATTTGCATCGAAAAACTCAGTTTTGACGAAAACGACTATGGGCAGCGGCAGTTTAATGCTTAAACTGCTGTTTTTGAAATAAAAATAAATTTCTGTGAAATTATCAATGCACAGGTCCTTCAAGTCATTTCATGATTTTTGGATAATTTCAGGTTTAAAAAAGATTAGCACAGTGCTATATTGAAAATAAAGCTTAATGCATTTTCTGTGAACTTCGAGCAAATACACGTAGTGATTTCTTCATTCCTTTATTTAACGTCGGTCTCTGTTCCGCAATCTAGTGCCAATCACCGACGGACATCGATTTCCATCCATTGATGGCAATCGAATGTGCAAGTGATTTGAATAAATTTGAGATTTGATCGATTACCGTACTGAAAGGTATCCACAGATATGATCATTATGTAAGATTTTGTTCTTCAAAGTTTCACTTGCTTGACTCGCCGAATGCCGGGCATTTTTGAAAAATGTGAATAGGTGTACTATTTATAGTTGAAACATGTTGAGTACTATAGGAAACAACATGGCAAGTATTTTCGTACCAAATCCGCCTGCATACGTAGTAAGAAGTAAGTAGTAAAGTTTATGATATGATTGCATTTATGTTTAACATCATTAAATCATTAATAGGAGTGTCAAAATTGCCTGGAGCAGAGGGTAGTTCTCAAGTAGGTAGGTATATGATGGAAATCAGTCTTGAAAGCATAATTTAGACCTTGTTGTTCGCGTTTTTCAGCAAATACAATAATTAATTATACCTACAATAAACCCTGGACACCACCACTACGCAAAGGTAAGGTTGGATTTGGAGTGATTGAATGGCAATGTCCTTTATATTGATGAGTGCAAGGATGGATTTGAGTTCATGCACTGATGAAAATTAGACAGGAGCAGGGCTGGCAAATGTCATTTTCAATGAAAGATCTCACGCGATATTTACAGAGATACTTCTGTCACTATCATTGGATAAGAAAACGATGAAAGAGATTTTCTTCAAAATGTTATCGAATTTTGTGTCATGACAGAACGTGACAGTGTTGTGATCATCGTAATTACTAGCTCATTTAATGCTTTTAAAGTTACTTGTACCGAGGAAATCTTAATAATAATATTCACTCTACCGATTACATACGGTTGTTTGCTTAAATTCGTCTAAATCAGTTAGAACTGTTGATGTGAAAACCGCGTAAGAATTATTCTCATGATAGATAGGTAATGATAGGTAGTTTCGTCTCGTGATAGTGAGAGGACCTGTTTTCTCATCGTCACATGACCGCCGTGATATTTACCAGCTCTGGACAGGAGCAGTGGTGTAAGCAGCCACCGTAGTCGACGCATTTTCTGTGATAATCGACTGCCTTTGCTTCCGACTTTTTCAAGACAAGCTATCTAAGTACAGTACCAATTTAAAAGACCATATGACCGTCACGTATTTATGTAATTAATTTATCTCATAATAAGGGCTGCTAATGTTGTACTTGTGTGAATTCTAAAAATAGCAAGCAGTGATGTTCTAGTAATAACATTTCTGATCAGAAATGGTTTAATTTACACAAAATTGAGAAAGAAAAATTGATAGAAGGAAAATTATTAGAAGGAAATAACACATTGTCATATGATAGGGGAAATGTTGGCTTCGGAAATACCTTAACCTATTATCGTCAGGGGAGTAAACAAAGTCCTAGAGCACTCAAATTTGGCCAATAGCTGCTCTGAAACACAATGTATCCACATGCCAAAATTGAGCTCTCAAGCCAAATTTTCCCTTAGTTATTTGATAGTGTATTTTATACCGTTTTTAATTGGACTCCTCAAAAGTGCGCTTTTACGATGTATCGTCTTGGTGTCTTCTGCGTACTTTTGCGTTAGGAGCCAAGGAATAAGTGCGCCGATGAAACCAACACGATTTAACGTAAAAGCGCATTTTTATTTGCGGGTCCGCACTTTTCTTCGCACTTATAACGTGCGCAATGCGCAATATATTTTCCTACAACTTTTTCTCAAACGTCATTCCGAGGAAAAAAAAAAGTTTTCTTGATATTATTTATCTATTTAAAATTTTCGAGAATGAAGATAGAAAATATGTACCTTCAGCAAAGTTGCTCCAAATAAATTGTTCTACAACTTTGTCGGACATTATTCTGGTCTATCTCAAACAAAATTGATATCTTCAACTCAATTACATTAGGAATAACCCTTATTTCACTTACATCAAAAGATTGTCCAAAAAATATTTAAAAACTTTCACCAAGACACCATTTATCTAAAACGGATGGTTTAAACGCACAATTTGTTGTCTTCCTAAATACGGCTTTGGCAACACGACTTCATAAGTTATTTTTTACAGTTTTGTACCAATCCTTTCTTTTAGATAATTTTCAAAACATCTCTGATTTCTAACGAACGTTCTAGCACAGACAAACAGACGTAACGCTTCATTCTGGATCATCGTTCACGCATTTAATGATTAATTTGAATTTTATCATTTCCGCGAATTACTCACCGTTGCGCTGGCATCGAATCACTTTGACGTGTCTATATATTTTGTTTATTTACTATAGGCCATAATTGGAACACACCATAATAGGAACGTGTAGCCATAACTGGTAAACCTACCCTAGAATATATATAGCTCGGAAACCCTATATAACCTTATATTAACAATAGGGCGAATAGCGGGCAATTAACAGGCTTGTTGGTTACTTCACAAGTAACAATTTTGGTTTTATGAGGGTTCTGTATACCATGATTTAAGCTTGTAGAATGCTATAAAACCTCTATAAAGCTCACAATGTTACTTGGGTTCGGAATGGCTCGGGTATATACGTGCGAACATTGATTATGTCGTAGAAGGATTTCCCGTTATCGATTTGGTTTTCGGTGTGTTAGTCAAAAGATCTCCAAGGGGTTGATCATTGCGTACAAAGTACCAAAAATAGATTTTGCTCAACTTTGGCGCAATCATTTTCACTGTTTGGCACCCGTGGTTAGAAATATTGATGATCTTTAAAGTTACTGGCAAACTGTACGATCTCTGCGCCTGCACAGTGCGCATGTGTCAAAATTAGATTTAATCATGGAAATTAACCGCAACCGCGAATTTCCATCAAGGATTCTCCAAACCCGAGTTAAAGTCAGCGCACATTAGAGTGACGCAAAATGTGAAGTTTTCACTCCATAGTGCTCAAACGGTTGCAAATTGGGTCCTGATCATCCTCCCAAAATTTGAACTCATTTAGTTAAAAACTGACTGAGTAAAAACTATTTGATGTTCGTATGGGAATTACTATGAAAAAAGCCAACTTTTTGTTCATATCTTTCTAACAATTCACCATAAAAAAAAAAATTCAACCAAATTGTAACTGATAATGTTTCCTACAAGAATTCAGTGCAATATAGAAAAAGGTACAAGACAATGAACAAAAAGTTTGGATTTCCTACAGTAAATCCCATACAAACTTCAAATGGTTTATGCACAGGCAGTCTCTATCCAAACGAGGTCAAGGCTTGGAAGGCTTATCAGGGCCCGATTCGGAACAAACAGCAAACAGCCTGGAAAAGTTAGACCTGGGAATATTTTTTTACGGCACGTTTTTATTTTTCTAAAAATATTGGGAAAAATTATCAAAAATCCAAGAAAGTCAGTCTTTTCCTTCGATTCCTGAGAAAATTTCCATGTATTTTTTTTTAACTCAACATGAAAAAAATTGGACCTTTAGCAAAACCGAAAAGTCGATGTTTTGTTGTTTTTTGAGTCCAACTTTATGTCATGATGGCTTATAAAAATCTTTTTGCACGTGAATTTTCTTTGAAAAAATTGTGATTTTTTTCAGATTTTTAATATCTTTTTCCAATATTTTTAGAAAAATCAAAACGTAATTTTTTTTTTCGGAGCGGTGAACTTCCTTTTAAAGGCCTGTATAGATATCGAAGCGAAGCGAAAATCTCATACAAAATACTAAATTTTTCACCAGCGTGAAAAACGCAATTTGCTAATTTTTTACTTCGCTTTGAACTGTAAACATATACGATCCAGCGAAATCTAATCGACAGTGAGCATGCATAAGGGCGTATACGCGATGATCGATTCTCTTCGTCGATTTTCTCTTTTGTTAATAACTCGCTAGATTTAACATTTCTCGGTGCATTTGCTGTTGCTTTTGATAGCCAATACAACCTGTAACTATTCTTCATTGAACAAATTCTAGAAAATTGTTTCGCTTAGCTATAGCAATGCAAAGAGAAAATCGATGAAGAGAATCGATCATCGCGTATTCGCCCTTATGCATGCTCACTGTCGTAATGTTGTGGATCGCATCTTTTTCGCTCACGTTTATTTTTTTTCGCGCATGCAGCGCTCGCGAAAAGAGCAGCAGCTAAGCGAAAAGTTGACGTTTCGGGAGAGCGATCTGTTTGATTTTCACTTCACCGGAGGTGTAAACTGATCGATTTCGTTTCGCATGAACTGTAAACTGCGAAAAAAGGAAACTGGAAAATGTTCCACACATATTTTTTCACAACCTTTTTCGCTAGAGAAATTTCATGATTTTTCGCGTGCTTCAAATTTCGTTTCGCTTCGATCTGTATACTAGGCTTAAGAAGAGATGGAGCAGCTGTATCGTTCTTAAAAGGCGCGTAAATTGCATTCGAAAATCAACGCATCTTGCAGCAACTTTGTTTATTTAACGTCGGTCTCTGTTCCAAAATCTAGTGCCAATCACCGACGTACACGGTTTTTTACGCGGATTCCGGAATTTACGCGTTTTTTTTTACGCGGTCCGTATCACCCGCGTAAAAAGCGACTCCAGTATATCTTGATGGACAAACGTGCGGTGATCGAAAATCGAGCACTCTAATCGAAATGTGGAAGCTGATTTTTTTTATTATTATTATTATAGTCACTTTAACACTCTTGGGTCATTCGTGACTTGTCCGGGGTGAGATTTGAACTCGTGACTTTGGCGTGAGAGGTATGGATGTTAAACACTACGCCGGAGTAGCCCCGAACACCTGAATGAAAGAGAGGCGGAGAACGAATACAGCAGGATCAATGGCTTCATCGGTACGCTGATATGTAGTAATAGACCCGCTGATGTGAGCTGACGTAACCAAACGAGCTTTCATATCATATGGAAATGCACGTTTAGATACAACATGGTAGCACACACATTTATTACTTGATCTACTACTGATAGTCAAGATCTGGAACAGCTAACACTGGATGAGTAGAAAGAGGGAGTAATATGTCCAATATACGAAAAAGAAGCGAATTGGGAATGTTAGATCACTATTTTCAACGTACCTACAAAGTACATTTTCAGATCATCTTCAGCCGTCTACCACTAGAATAGATTTTACAAGGAGCTTGAAGAAAGTTATCCAGTTGGTTTTGTGGACTGGTGCAGCATATCCCCAAAAAGTGTCGCGAATATCTACTTCAAGGCCGCTTATTGACCGTGAAGATCAATTTTCCCGGGAAACTGAGCAGACTGATCAAGGCTGGATTGTATGGTTTACAGTTCTGTGTGAAAATATCTGGTGCATTATCGGGCTCGTCTTTAAGTTCGACAAGTTTTATAAAACGTTGCTGGCTTTAACATGTGAAGTTTAGTTTAGTTACTTTAGTTCAATATGTGGAGCTTGAACTTTGTTAAATTCTTGTTTCTTTGGAAACAAAACGCGCCTAAACCGTCGCAAAAATACTCGTTAGGAATTCATACAGCGACGATTTCCGTGACAGTTTTGGTGCGTTTTGTTTTTTAAAGAAACAGCACTTATATTAGTGTTACAAACGTATATAATTTATAAGCAAAACAAAACGTAACATTTTCTAAGAAAGGTTTTCATTGACATTTGGGGTCCGGGAGCACATCTTAAACCTATTCGAATGGTACCAGTGATTATGATGATTTTTTTTATCTGATTCAGATAGAGCTTCAGGCGAAACATTTGATAACGGCACAAAAGCTTTTGTAAACAAAAGTTGTGAGGCCCTTACACGCGAACCGAAGAACGAACCAACAACATCATCGGGTGGGGGAAATTTTCCCCTTTCCTAAAATTGTATTGGTTTGCGTGGGCGTACTTCGGTTCGCGTGTAAAGGGCCTTACAACTTATGTTTACAAAAGTTTTTGTGCCGTTATCAAATGTTATGCCTGTCTTGATGTCTTCAAAAAAGTTGTATCAAATGTTACTTTAGGCAACTTTGCTGAAAAAACAAAATTTCTAGCTCTTATATATTGCGAGATATATATCGTTTTTCGTGAAAGGCCCCTTTATATCATGTTTTTTGTACAACTGTTTTTCTAGACATCCTACAATTTTGGTTCCTTGTACAACTATATTTTGCATGTTAAAACACATGCGTTTGATGAACATTGTAACTCATTATCTCTTGAAACAAAAAAATATTCTTAAATAATCGATATTTTCAATGGTATTTGCTCCTCAAATAACTATTTCCGGCGCAAATTGACGCAGAAATAGGATTAGTAGGATTTTGAATCTATACTTATTTTACTGCCGAAAAGTTATAAAAACATGTGTCAGCACGCGATCTTTTATGTGTTTTTTGATAACTAAAAAACTTCTGCAAATGTCTAATTTTTGAATACATAGGGGAAATGGCTCTAATGTTGGCCTATGGATCTAAGATTGGGCCCATCGTTAAAAATCTGCTATTTATCAAGTTTATCTAGATGAACGCGTCATTTTTGGTCGCTATTGAAAATTTAGACGATTGCTGAGTTTATGTATGGGCCCAAATTAGGGGCATTTTATTTTAAGAGATAGCATGTTACAATGTTGAGCAAAAATATGTAATTTTGTATCACAAACAACTTTGTAAAATATTTTAAATATATTGAAAATCTAATTATACTTAAAACAATGATTTGAATGAGCATTAAATTTACACGTTTTTTATTGCATTTATTCGTCCTCTTACTCTTGTGATTCTGAAAATGATTTTATGCTCTGTTTGGGCCAACACAGCTAGACATTCAACACATGCGTACATATTATCCATGTAAATATTTTAGAAACGCAATGCTCGGAATACCTAGCTGAAATTGCACAACTCAACAAAAAACTCATACAGCAACAAGAGACCTGCACGAATAAAACACAAAAAAGTTCCAAACAAAAGACTCAAGGTACCAAAAAGGCCCTCGTGAAAGAATCTGAGAAATCTTCCGGTGTCAACAGGCAGCACGACGTGTACTTCAGTTCGAGAAAGACCTACAACGAGTTAATGAAACTGTTTAATAAGGTCACCTTATCGGGCGTCGATTCGAAAATAAAAACCAATGCTGAATATTATCTGCATCATTTGAAGATGAATCTTCTCGTATTGACAAGCAATATACAGGAATATTCAAAAGTACTCGTATAGATCGTATTGCGAAAGTATAAAATTACATTCGGTTCATCATTCTTCCAGATAGAGGACTGCTTTAAAACGTTTGTTATTAGGACCCAACAACTTCGGGACTACATGACGTACTACTATGATAGTTGCAAGGCACATTATGAGCAAACGTGTAACAGCAATGTATTGGTAAGTTACCAGGATGGTTTGCATGAGCTGGAATACATGATCGCCGAATGCATCCGTCAGCGTCTCAACTAACAACTATACTGATATACGAATAAATATGTAAAATTAAGTTCATAAAAGAATGTAACGATATTTAAACATAATAAAGGCTGGTGGTTTGTGCAAAAACGATGATATTAGGTGCAGTAACGAAACTTACCCTTACCCGAATCACCTACATTCTTGACTACACTGTCTAACTTGGCTTGAACCTTGGTTTGAACGTTTTCTGCACCTTCCTTCATTTTTGCAAGTATACCTAGGGAATGAGTAGCGTGTTACTTAGCTTGATCAAAACAATCCATTTTCCATTCTACAGCTAAAGCAAGCTAATACATTGAATATGCTCTCTATTGGTATGTCTAACAGCAACGGAAATTTCCTAGAACTCATGCTAGATGCCTTGATGCAGTTTACTAAAATGAAACAGTATGGATGCTGAACTATGAACTTGTTTGGAAAGGAAAGAAACATAGCAACGAATAACATTTCACAAACAATATAGAACTGTTTCGTCATGCGAAACATAGAAAAGCAAACATAAATCAGCACATTACATATATGTCTTAACGAAGAAGGCTAAACTCATAAAGGTCTAGAGAGATTTCATAAAACATAATTATCGAGTTTAAGCCATGTTTAGCCGAAATATATAAACATAGGCCAGGTTAAATGTTGGCTCACTATAAGCTACCAATACAGCGTGTGGCAATCCTGATGATGTTGGTATTAGAAAGGAAAGTTACATGGCCACCCATTGACAGCAAAGCGAAACGATCTTAGGTAATGCTTAGGATAGCAAGCTCGATTCGCAGTTTCAGGTTGAGATTAGGATTCGTTAACGGTCTATTATTATTCTTTCATTCATTCTCTAACCGACAAGAAATGTGAAGATCAGTTTCTCTCACCAGTTCTGCAAACTCTCGACCATACACGGCGATATTGATAAAACATTCGAGCCAAAAGTCATCTTCAAGGGAAACCATGGGTGGGTGAGGAAAAATTATCCCACTCTTTTTCACAGTGTACAGCTCGTTGACAGATGCTAAATTGAGCACACCTGTGCCAATTCCAACCGTAGTTCATTGTAAACAAAAGTTCAATGTTAGGCTCCAATCCGTTCGCGTGTAGTTCTACAATGAAGCCAATTAACCACCGACAAACCGACATGAATGATCATACAAATTACAAAGAAATTTCTCACCAAAGCACAAAACTGACATCTGCCGCCGTGTTCGCGGAAAATATTTATCCTAGCCACGAACACGCGTACAAAATTTATGAGTTGGTTCGTGTCTTATCTATTTCGGACAAATTATTTTTATCTAGATAAAACATTTCTATGGTTTTGACAGATGGGATCGCTGCACATTTGAATTGGCCTTTATGGACTCTCGATCAAGAATTTAGTTTGAGTTTCATGTCGGTTTGTCGGTGAATTAACTGCGCAATAATGCAGTAATCGAGCTGTATAACCGAGGAAATCAACACAGGCAGATGCACCAATATTTAAGTTGAAACACTCAAAAACAAAATGTGGATGCACCTTAAATAATTAAAATTACACCAATAAATTTAAAAATACTTTCAATAAAACAAGATAAATTCTCAATACGAAACCTGAAATGTTCCATTAAAAAGTTATGAAATGTTTTCTAAAAAATACTGAAATGTTCCATAAAAATACGAAATGCACCAATAAAAAAGATGAAATGTTCCATAAACTACAAGCGATTTCTATAGATCCATCTTTTTATTGGCCTTCCATATTTTTTTAATGGCGCATTTCATATTTTGTAGGGAACATTCATAATTTTTAGGGAACATTTTCTCGATTACTTTGTCGAAGGGACCTATCTGCTTTTGTAAACAATGCATTTGATCGTCAATTTGGCGTAATTGGTAGCTCGCATGCTAACACTACCATCAGATAGGGGAAATTGTCCCCTACCTGATAGTGGTTTTAACTACGATAGTGATAGGGACGAGCTACCAGTCACGCCAAGCCGACATTTACACAAGCAGATGCGTCCCTTCGAAAAGAAAAAGTAATCGAGATTTCATCTTTTTCTTTTTTGTGTTATTTAGAGAAGCGGAGCGACGAATATGCACCCAAAAAAAGCTTCTAAATGATGGAATGTTTCCTAAAAATACTTAAATGCTCCATAAAACCTTAAATAATCCACCTGACCCTTCTTACGTATTGATTTCATGTGTCGTATGTTAGGTTTTGGCCCTTCAAATGAACAGGAAACTACCGAAGGTGCACCCGGAACATGTCCGTATGTGTCTAATTGGATCCTGGGTACTTGCGCTTGTTTTTAAATTCTCATGTAATTTAAGGTGTCGCTTGATGAGTTTTAGTTAGTCCTCGTCAGAAACTGATCACTTCCCCTGGGATACCCGGAACATGTCCGGATGTGTCCAGTGGTGTCCTAGGCACTTGAAGTAACCACCATTGCACTTGTTTTTTTCATTCTCATGTAATTTGACCTGTCGCATGATGGGATTTGATTCAAGTCGGAAACTGTCCACTTTTCCTGGGGTACCCGGAACATATCCGGATATGGCCAATTGATATAAAAACCAAAATTCTTTTATTTTTTCGTTTTCATATGATTTGAGATGTCACATAATGGAGTTAATATGATTTAGGTCATTTCCAAACTCACGACCCATATTCACCGATACATGTTCCGGCCATGTCTCAGGAACCAGTTGACCGATTCTATAAATATTTTAAAACGTTCTAACTAGAGTCGGTGTATAATGAGTCACGCCAAGAGTGAAGCCAAGTCTACCTATTGAACTGTCAAACCGGCTACCTATCGTGCAAAGTAAATAAACATTACGATGCTATGAAAGGTCCACGAAAGGTATTGCAATAATATATAAAATATAATCGAAGAAATGAGCATAAACACGCAGTGAGCGTTAAATTGTTATGGGATACGCTCGGTAATGATTAGTTATGAGAATTTCTACTATTTTTTGTTAAGATAATTTGACAAAATCACTGATATAATGATTTACTACAGCCGCAATATTTTTTGTCTCGCTAGAAGTCATTTGAAGTTGTTGTAGAAGTCCTCTGTTGCCAAGTGAAAAGAATGGGAATGTTTCGAAAACCGTGATGCGAGTTCAACTGTTTTTCTCTTATAGCGAATTCGTTTATTATCGGGGTTAACACCAGTTCCAACCCAGTGCGAAACCGAACTTTTTGTCATTGTTAACCTCAACCTGAGCTAGGTTTTAAAAACAAACGAGCAAACTGACGTTTGTCAGAATACAAGCAGACCCAATCTTGATACCCGATCCAGGTTGGAACTGAATAATAAACGAATTCGCTATTAGTGTGACTCATTATACACCGACTCTAGTTCTAACCTTTAATTTTGTGATTGTTGCGTCCAATTCCGTATGAGGGTATGAGGGCCTGTACATAAACTACGTAGACTGTTTTGGAGAGGTTCGCTCTTATTCTCGTTTTTGTTCGAACCAGCTTAGATTGCTGGTGATCACGTTTTTATGCTGGCTACGAAAAGAAGGCAGCGTGTCAGGCGTTTTGTAATCGAAGTAGCGCATTGTAATCAACGATAACCAATGTATACCATAGCAACATTGTAAACCATAGCAACACCTAGCAACGTAGTTTGTTTAGAGCAAATAAATGTTCAGTCTTCAGTCATTCCACTACGAACGATGTCTCATCACTCTGCAAAAGGTTATGGGCCCAGTTCTGGCTATAGTTGAAAGAAAAAGTTGAAATTTGAAGACACCAAACGGTCAGCAGATGAACGGTGCCAACGGAATCGGAAATGGGCAGTCGGCCGCTGGAGGCGGAGCTGGAGTGCCAGCTGCTTGAAATGGACGGATCAACGCGGTTGCTCTACCGGTCATTGAGAAGCTGAAGAATCGTTAAAATCATTCAACGTGGGTGCTCGCAATGAAGATGACGCTGATTCGCGACGGGACCTGATACGCGGTATCGCCACCACAAGATCAGGTAATCGACGGAAAAGTCAGTTTGCGAGCATTAGCCACAATTTGCTTGAGTCTGGAGACCACGAACTTCCAGGACGCAAAGGTGCTGCGGAATGCTTTCCAGGACAACGGATTGGCAAGGAAAATCGTGTTGCTGGGGAAGCTTACGTCTATGCGTTTGAACGATTGCGGCAGCGTTGTACGTCGACTAACTGATGTCCACAGGGCATAAACTTGCGGGAATCGGTTTCAAAGTCGACGATTCATGACTGGCTGCATTGACGAGTGCACGAATGGATTTGAGTTCACTCACTCGACAAAAAGTGACACAACAGCGGGGCCCTGTTTACTAAAAATGAACACATGAATAATACTCACGTAACATTTGAAACGGGTCTATCAACTTATGTACACAAAACTTGTTAAGCCTTTTTCGCGCGAACCGAATACGCTCACGCGAACTAACAACACCATCGAGCAGAGGAAATTCTCCCCTTCCCGATAGTGCTCTTGGTTTGCGTGGGCGGACTTCGGTTCTCGTGAAAAGGACCTAGCAAATTATTTACAAAAGTTGATAGGCCCTTTTCAAATGTTACGCGAGCATTATTCATGTGTTCATTTTTAGTAAACAGGGCCCCGCTGTTGTGTCACTTTTTGTCGAGTGAGTGAACTCAAATCCATCCGTGCACTCGTCAATGATGGGAATCTCGGAGCATTATGAACTCATGATTATGGGACTCGAAGCATCGGATTCGGTGAAAATTGCTCGAGATTGCTTTTCTCGATGGCAGTCGTAACGTGATGACTTTCATCGACGATGCTAGTCCGAAAGTATTTCTCTACTTCCTGGAACGACGAAGTATCTGCAACATCTGACAGCGACTCAAGTGATCCCGTCGCAACTAAGTAGACCGGCTGTTGAGCACCCCCCGAATTCCAGGCAATATTTATGTCGTTTTCGTTTTTGCGGTGTAGCACCGGTGTAGTGTAAGCAGGAATAAGTGCGAGCCTTTGACAGCTCAACATCATTTGTTTGTAAACAAAGGTGCATCCTATATCTACACCTTAAATTATTTCGGTGTACGGCAGTGTAGCACCGGTGTAGCTACACCGCAAAAACGAAAACGACATTAGATTTCGTTACGTATAGTTCGTTTTCAGGCGAAGTTGTTTCCCCCCAGCGCCCACACCGATGTATTCGGAGGAGTCGTTCGACGATTCTCAAAGCTACGACAAGGCACTGTAGGTTTCTTATGGCTTGTTTACGTTTGGAACCAGTTATGCGAGGTAGGCGACGATTGTTCGTATTTGACAGCCACCTCCCCCCCTTGGTGCCAATCACCGACGGACATCGATTGTCATCCATTGACGGCAATCGAATGTGCAGGAAGGCAGCTTCCACACCTGCGTAGGATATCGCACTCATTACACACATGGGGCCGTGACCAAAGGCCTAACCTTCCCTTCCGAAGGAAGACGTGACCAGGAATTTTTTTTATGCCTTAGAAAAATCCCACCGACCTCGGTTGGGATTGAACCCAGACCCATTGGGGTGAGAAAGCAGTCACGCTTACCACTACACCGTCGGTACCGGCGAAAAACTTCTCCAATAACAGTAATTTTTTTAGGTTTGTCAGGTCTGTGCTCGAATGGAATTACACTGACAGATAAATTTAAATTCTACTCGGAACAGGACATCTCTTTGTATATTCTAGTATCTTTAGATATATCCATAAGTGTTCCACGCTTACGCAGTTCCCTATGGAACGCGAGACAGTTATGAGTGGGCTGTAAAAGGTATTAGAGTGTAAGGAAAGGTTATTTTCGTATACGATTCTTGCAACATGGAAGCTTTGTTCAGTGTACACTGAACAACAAAAATATGATAGGTACTAATAAATAAATGCAGATTAACGGTGCAGCTAGCTGAATAACGTCATCAATATAACATGGCAGTAGTATCACATGCATTCTAACTTCTAACTACTAATGGCATTCTATAGGTACTAGCAGATGTAAACTACAACGTTGTATACAAATATCTAATCAAATATGGGTAGTATTATAACAAACCGTGTTTATCTTTCTCTTTCAGAATTTTTTCCATGTCACCAGCTTTATTCTTCACGCGACCAAGAAAATCTAAATCCAATGTGTAGGTTGGCATCAAAGGTTTTTTTTTTTGTGTCAAAAGTAGATTTGGTTTAGTGACAGCATAGAAAAATGAAGAAAGGAAATATGTCCAAAAATGCTTTGATTACTACCAGAAGAATGTTAGGTCGTATTTGTTATTTACCGGGGAAATGCTGATTTGTTGTTATGAAAGTTAATAAAATTGAACTCACCTGAAATCTTTTTCCCAGCCTCTGATGAATGTGTTTCGGTGCCGATCGGAATAAGTAAACCTTCAGCCTGTTAATTTAATTTCAATTATATGAGGTCACAGTAAAAACAGCAATGATTACCTCCAAAGTACTTGGACTCATAGCAGCGTACTCTTCGGCATGTAGCTCAAATATCAGTCCTTCAATGTCAAAGAATAAAATGTGACTCTCGGCATCTGGAAAGAAGGTTAACGTTTTACGAAATGTCCAACCCCATATTAACCAGTGCTGGATACCTTTCGGGTTGGTCCGCAAACCCTGAATTATTAATGGGCTGCTTCGGTTCTTCATCAGGAAGTCGCCGTGCTGATTGTTATGTGCATGCAGCTGCTGCAGTTGATGAATACCACGCTGCGTGGCGTGACGAATGGCGTTGAAATTGCGATGACGGAGGCCTCTGTTGGGTTAGAGAAGGAAAAATACCACTTGAAATTTTACGCTTATAATGAGTTGAAGAATTTATTTTTAAGAAAAAAAAAATAACAAACATAAAAAATTAGGAATGATTAAATTTTCTTCCATATCACTTTAATTTTTGCTTGGCTGTCACTTTCATCACCAATCTCGGTCATTCACTCGAGTCTACCAAGAGTCAAGCCCACTGCCTGAACTAACGTGTGTGTCCCATTCGCGTGAACAAAAGTCTGGCTCATCGCTCCAACCGCACGCTCGATTGAGATCATAGCGGATAACAAAAGGGAATGTGAGAGCTGAACACAAAGTACTACCTAAGGGCTAAGTAACATTGCAAGCTTTATAGAGGTTTCATAGCATTCTACAAGTCTAAATCATGGTCTACAGAACCCTCCACCATTGTGAATATAGCAGCTATGCATGAACAAAACATTTAAAAAACGAGTTGAATCAGATTAAATTGTCACGCACGAATCTAATAAAATCCGATCACACAAAAACAACCGAAAAACTAATCAGACGAACCCAACAAAAAAAATCACGTCAAGGCAGAACCAATAAAAAATAGATGATGTACCGGTTCCCTTAGCTCAGTCGTTAAAGGCGCAGCTACAAAGCAAGACCATGCGGAAGGTGACTGGGTTCGATTCCCGGTTCGGTCTAGGAATTTTTCGGGATGGAAAATGTCTTGACTTCCCTGGGCATAAGAGTATGATTGTAATTGTCACCAAATTAAACTAATGCAAAAATGGTACAGGCATTTAAAGCTCTCAATTATGCGATAATCAATAAACTTTCTGGTGACCTGGTAAAAAACATTTTCACATTTCATAGCTATTTGATTTAAAATTATTCCATAAACATTTACCTCGCTCTTATAACATTTGACATTATCGCTATCAATGTTCTCGTATTTAACATTTTCATTTCTTTGAATATTATTCAAAAATGAAATATTTATTAAATTCTTCAGTAACATAATTCGCTTCTTGATTTACTAAGCTTCACAGTTACAAGACATATGTTCATGCCGGTCTGTATTATGACCTGGTTCTAGGTTCTAGAACATGTCCCGATGGACTTCCTACACTGGTCAAATTTCTCCAAGACATCAGATCCAGGAGTTATCAAGACTTTGTAGACATGCCCAGAGCAATTTTTCTAGCTTTCTCGCAGAGCTCCGTTAGGCATTCCAATTGCCCCATAGGGCGACCATCATGCCACTTCAGTAGAAATAATTGCCAGAAAATTTAAAGCTTTGGCTGGGATTTTTTTTTAAGGTTAACAATTTTGTATAATTGTTCTTCAAGCATGGGATTATATGACAATTCTTGAGCTTATGTAAGCTTTTCTGATTTTGATTGGAATTTTATTCAAATTTCGTTATGGTGGCCATCTTGTCCTGCTTTCCTCCATTTAATTAATTCGTGTATTTGACAACCCTCAGTGTTTAAAAAAAAAAAAACTTTGCGGATCCGAAAGTCTTAACAAAGTAGTAGGATTATTTTTTAACCGCATTTTTTATGAAACAATTATGTTTTATATCTAACATTTCCGGAGAACTTTGAGATTTTGGCGTAATTGCTTTTGTAAACAAACACGTAAATCACCGATTTCTCGCGAATAAAAGCTTGCAAATAAACTATACCAAATGATGGAGGAATCATTCCTCTAGGTACCTGTTTGTTGTGTCAGTTTTTTAGATTGAGCTTTAATTCGCGAGAAATCGGCGATTGACCGGTTTGGTTACAAAAGCAATCTGGCTGAAAATCTCCTTAATAAAGACAACCAACCAACCAACCTACAAAAGCAATTACGCCCTAATCTTGAAGTTCTCCGGATTTTATGGTTTTATACTGGTTTCAATATATGGCTTAGGGTGAGCTATGAAAAGTAAGGCTTGTTAAATTAACTTTTTTAACAATGATTATTCTAGGCACTTTTAGAATTTTTAATGGCACATAATTTGCAGAAGCAATTAAGTTGCTACCTCTTTTAGTTGTTGAATTACTATCTATTTTTATAAAATGCATTTTTCGTCCTTAGTAAGAGGCCCTGAGAACTCAAGGTTTTTCAAGGAAAAATAAAATTCCCTCTGGATTTCTGGTTTTCCTGGTTTTTCAGGTAGGTATGTAGCAGACACCCTGTCTGAATTCTCACAGAAGCTCATTTTGATATCAGAAACAGGAATATTGCTTGACTTGTCGAATGAAGGTTTTTTTTTTAAATATCAACTCACCTGAAAAAGTGAACCGCGGGATTTGAGAGGCCCAATTCCGATGTAGAGCCGCTACTGCTTCCAGTTTCTCCTACATTCTCGTCACATGCATTCATGACTTCTTCGGCGATGATTCCTAAAATTTAAAATTATGTTATTAACAAAAAACAACAAGAAACAACTAGTCCTCAAGAGTACCATGTAGGACTCTGTCCAGGTGACCAGTTTCCATCTGCCACACGTACACGGTCCCATCTGAGCATCCTACAATCAAGAAATCATCCAAAGGACGCCATTTGATAGAAACGACCGGAAACAGGTGGCGACTTGCCAGTGTGACGCATTTCCTCTCTTGCAGGCTCAGCAACGTTACCGAATGGTCCGAGGCGACCGAGCAAATGCATTTCAGGATTCTTGGCTGCAATGAAATCGATACCAATACATGACCATCTAGTCGAAGTTAGAAGTGGAATATTTACACTGCAGGTCGGTGGTGGCACCAGAAGTTGGGTGATTTCCCCGGCATGGACACAGAACCGATGAAGCAACTGGCCACTGTAAAGGTCCCATAAGCAAACGGCGAAATCGACACCCCCGGAAACCAGATGAGACTTATCATAACGTGGATGCGCCAAAGATGGACACAGGAGGCAATTTACGCGGCCACTATGCCCATTCAGGATCTGGTGCCGGGGCCAATCTGGAAAAAAAATTATGTAAGTCAAAGTTAATGTTTAGACTAAGACCCTACCGCTTAATTCCTGATGGTGACCATATAACAGATGAAGCATGACGGTTTGCGTAGCCGGAACGATAATAATACTGCCATCTTCCCGACCTACGACCAGACGGCTTTGCAAGGGTAGATAGATGCTGGCCGTTAATTTGATCATCGGTTCACTGCTATTGCGGTAAAGCTGATCCAGAATGCCCACCGGTAGTGGATTCATTTTGTTCCACGCCTCTTCCAAACTGGTACAGATGGTCGATTCAAGAGCTGTGATTCGCATTAAGGAAAATATATTTTATGAAATCTGCTTACATAGCAACAGGTACTTACTTGCAGGCAGTCTCTTCTCAATCTGAATTACTTTAATCTGCTCCATAGTAATATCCGGTACGGCCCAAATATTTATGAACCCTTCGGAATCACCTCTCAGGAGATACTTTTGCGTTTTTCCGCCCCGATTCGACGTGACCAATTTCATAGTCGGAGGACAGGACAGGGGTTTCTCGCCTGTTTGCGACAACACGCAATACAGGAAGGGGGAATCCTTCCCAATGGATGGTCCATGGAAATCCTTATTATCGGGAATGCTATTCGCTGGCAATCGATACATGTATCCCTTTCCTTCGTCTGACCACAATATAACGCGATCATTTGCCAGGAAATCACCTCCCATCCAACGTTCTCCCGATGGCGAGATCACACTGCACAGAACAGTAAAATCTCCAGCATCGTAAATTTGCCAATATTTTGCACAAACGATCAGTACTGTGCGTTGATTTTGCGAACAGCAGTTCATCGTGATGGCATTGAGACAACGGATCTGCTTCGATTCATTTTCGTAGATCGGTTCGGAGTACTTATTTTCATTTCCAATCAACGTCCAAACCTTGACGGTCCCCGTAGTGGTGATTGCCAACACAACATCATCCTTACGCTTAGACGGTCTCAAAACATGCAAGGCAGAAATCCAATCCGGATTAACCTTGGAACTTAGGGAAAATAGCACTTCCAGACTGAACGGATCCATCACCATGATTTCCGCGTAATATCCATTGCAAAATAATCGAATATCGTCGCAGTTTGCCTGGTGATAAGCCTGGATGTTCGTATGAACCTGGGCCATTTTGATACTCTCGGTACACTTACCATCGACCAGATCCCAGGTGCACATTTCTCCGTTTTCCGACGAGCTTACCAAAAAGTTATTATCTTGTATGATGGATGCTCGAGTCAAGCACAAAACTGGTGCCGTATGACCCACCAGTAAACAGCGAGGAGTCATTTGTAGCGTATCCGGATTAACTTGCCTGAAAAAAGTAATACAAAAAGTACTCCCCAATCAACTCATACCATAAAAGAATCACAAAATAAATACTCACCACAAACAAATCTGCCCATCGTAACAACCAGTAGCAAGGATTTTCTGGTCTCGTGACAAAAACACACTCGAAACACAGTGGGTTGGCGTATTGGGGCCCCACAGCACAACCGGAACCATCAAATTCGTACTGAGCATGATGATTACCCTCACAAATCGCTTGCGTAGTCAACAATCAACAACGTTCCAAATAATGTTGAATCTACAAAATTATTCTCAAAAACACGTAACTTTTGCTCAACGAATCATTTTTGTTTTCGTTCTTCTTTCTCCTTGAGATATGGGACGACGACGGAATGACGACTTTGCTGTGCTGGTTATCGATCGATTATTTGCTTTACGATTTTACGCCCTACTATGGATATTTATTACCAGCAATTCATCACCATTAGCTCGCACGGTAGATCACTTAAAAAGTAAACTATTTTTTACATCTACAAGACGTAGAATCTGCGGAAATTTGCGAAGTAATCAGAAAGTGTAAAATTTTCAATCGGAGCACTGATAAGATTTTTCAATTTTGACAGCTAAATAACTTGCCAGGGTTGAATTCACAGGCGATGAGGAATGTAAACAACTTCCAGCGGGGCCCATGCAGCATCGTAGAAAAACACAGTTCCATTAATCTGCACAATCTGCACTGAAAAGATATTAGGGGTATTCACAGAGCGCATCGTAAACGTATACATCCTCGTAAATGCATAAACTTCCATTACACTCCAATGGTCCCTGGTATTTTTGCGATAGTGTATATGTTTACGATACGCATAGTGAATACCCCCATTGAAATCTGAATAGATTGAAAGTTACGCTAATACCAGGGGGTGGAAACTAACGATTTTAAATTGATTCACTGCTTTGAGTAGCCTATTGGTCCCAAGTACTTCTATCATAGAGGTAACTCTAAGACCACTGGGTCCCGAAGAAAATCATTATTATTTTTGGCTCACTCAGTACCAGAACAACGGTCCCAAGCAGTCCCAAGCTATTTCACTCACCCCTGCATGTTCTGCATGAATCCACACACTCCTGATGTTATCTGTCAAACTTTCATAGCGAATCAAAACAAACATAGTGTAGTAATAGAATTTCAACTAGAATAGGGTACGTTAATCGTTTGCTTGGGACCAATAGGCTACTAAAGTGGTGAGCCAATTTAAAATCGTTAGTTTCGTATTGATTGTTGCTTCTATGGCGTACCCCATTCTAGTTGAAATTCTATTACTACACTATGTTTGTTTTGATTAGCTATGAAAGTTTGACAGATAACATCAGGGGTGTGTGGATTCATGCAGAACATGCAGGGGTGAGTGAAATAGCTTGGGACTGCTTGGGACCGTTGTTCTGGTACTGAGTGAGCCAAAAATAATAATGATTTTCTTCGGGACCCAGAGGTCTTTTTTTTTACCTTTGTTCGGGACATAACACTACTGCGACCAGTAATTTGATCTATTGTAGTATAGCCCGTGTCCTTAGTTTAGTGCATGTCGTATTACTCCATCACTATTGAGAAATGATGAAGTATTCGGTGTTGATACAGTTGTCATTCTTGCCTTCATTTCAAGGAATCGATTCTAAATGAAAGGTCCCGCTATTTATACCCTTCGGAGTGTTGGAATACCCTCCAAAGGCGCGCCCCTTTGTCAGTCGAAATGGGATTCCTTAGCAATAAAAATAAGCAATGACACCGATAATGACCATGCATCAGAACCCTAGTCTTAACCACTTCAAACTAGAGAACAATGAATAGAAGATTAGGAATCACATAGATGAAGACTAACTAACTCATTTTTTCCTTGTTTCAAGATCATCCTTGGTACAGGCAACCCGAGGACTTATCACTATCAACAAGGCATAAAAAGTAACAAGGACTAAGATGTGTTCCTTTGATTACTGAAAAATCCTGTACCCCTAGTTTGAAGTAGTCAAGACTAAGATTCGGTGGTAGATCTTACATCCCGTAACGTACCACGAAAAGGTGATCTACCCACGTTACGGGGCTACCCAGAGGTCTTAGAGTTACCTCTATGCTTGTATTATGCTCTTAGGTATTATGTTCCCAACGTAGGCAGAAAAAAAAAAACCCATGCGCGCTGTGTTCTTATTGCATGAAAATATTGATTTTTTTTTAAACTACGGGGTTGTATGACATTTCCCAGGAAATCATATACCGGAACGGACTATATCCCGTATTTTTGTTGTAGATAAATGTACAGCTCTATTTATTTGGAAATTTTAAATCGTTAAATGAACATCGTTAGCCAAATGACATGTTTTTTTTTAATACCATAATTTTTAAATCATATATACGCTGTAATGAGCAATTGCAAGCCTGATGCAAAGGGTGAGCAAACTAAACCCACTAACCTCGGAAGCCTTACTGTTTTCTAATAGCTGTATAACATATAATTCATATCGTTGCGTGATGAGTTCTCCCATACTCAGGTTATTCTGACCCCGGTCCAAAGCGAATTTTCGGTGATGCCCTCTGAAAATCTATTGAGGCAAATTACTTCTCAACCAGGACGCAACGTAGAAAGCATTTTGGGAGTCCCCAGTTCCTCTAAATCAGTCGCGCCTATTGCTGCCAGCGTTCATCCAAGTCGTCCTGGCCCTGAGTTTAGATGTGGATTGAGGGTCTCCCAGCTTGCTATATTAGGCAAGTACACACTTACTAGCGAACTTTCACTGCCTGATGATGATCATAATTCCAGTGCCTTCAACTCACCTCAAACATCTGCCAGTCGGCAACATGGAGCCACCACAGTCAACTGCACTCCGGGACGCATTCTTGCCGTCCGCCCTGAGGAAGCCCCTATTCCACTCATCGCAGTCGAGCCCCTCCTGCCAGCAACCAGCAGTCGTCCCGGTCCTGCGTTTGAGATGGGAGAAGGGGTCTTCCACATTCCTGTTATTGGCAAGTATGATCAACCGACGAATATATTATCGCCTGAAAATATCTTGGTTTCCAGCGGCCCTACTCGAACATTCTTCCTCCGTCAAGTGACATCTACCAGCTCCCAAATGCAACTACACGCTGAACCTTCCGTTGTTCCCGAACAGCGGAGGTCGGACATAACGATTTACTATCAGAACGTTGGTGGTATGAACCGAGGGGCAATTCACTGCTCTCGAGAATGAATCGAAAATACGTTTATGAAAAAAATACACAAAAATTCATCATTACTCGTCATTACTCAAAAAAATGCAAAAAAATACAAAATTCGGAAAAAAATACAAAAATATTCGACGAATAATAAAAATACACGATAATTCGTCATTTGGACGAAAAAATCAAAAATATGTACAATCAAAATGCTGAATTCGAACAAAATGCGTAAATTTATTATTTTGTATTTTAATCCGAGCTCGAATCACAAAACAATGCATTAATGAGTAGAATTTCGCCCATTTTTAAGAAAAGTGCCTTAAATCATTTATTAAATAAAAAAAAACATTTTGAGTAGTTGTGAGCCACAAATAAGTAACGATTATTCATTAATGCGTAACAGATGCTTATTAATGCGTAATGAGCGAGGTAAGGGGCTGTTCATAAACTACGTAGACAATTTAGGCGGGGGGTGGCAATTATCCGCGGCCTATACAAATTTTAAAAATTTTGTCTGGACAATTGTCTACGCAGGGTTATAAGGGGGGAGGGCGAGGAAACCAAAAAAACTGTCTACGTAGTTAATGAACAGTCCCTAATGAGTTAATGAGTTAAGCCTCTTTTCTTTAAAATGGGTGAAATTCTACTCATCAGTGGGTATTTTAAAGTTAGCGTGTGTTGTGCATTTGTCAAACAAAACGTCAACATTGTGAGTTTGATCCGTTTGATCCTCGGTTCGAGTGGTAAACATAAACACTGAAATGACAGAATACACTTATAACTGATTTCCAATACATTAATGCATAAAAATACACTTTTATTTTTCGAATACACAAAAAAATACATATATTCAAAAAATACAAAAAAATACATTATTACACAAAATACACGATTATTCGATAAAAAATACTTCAATACGTTCATCAATACGTCGGCCTGAATCGAAAATACACAAGTGAATCGCCCCTCGGTATGAACGGCCTCGTGGAAGATTATCATCTGGCCGTCATGGATCACTGCTACGACATTTTAGTTTTGACCGAAACATGGCTTAATTATCGAACCATTTCAAACTATGTCTTTGGTGCTGGCTACGAAATATTTCGCTGCGATCGAAACACGAATAATAGTAGGAAAACTACTGGGGGAGGCGTCCTTATCGCAGTTAATTCCAAGCTGAAAGCAGAAGTTATCGAGGACGATTCCTGGAACAGGGTTGAACAAATGTGGGTGGCTATTCAACTTGGTGATCGTCAATTGCTTCTCTGTGCAGTGTACATTCCTCCAGATCGAACCCGTGACTTGGAGCTTATTGACGCACATTGTCGATCCGTCTTGGCCGCTTCAGACAAAGCAGGCCCTTCCGACGAAGTTATTGTTCTTGGCGATTTTAACCTACCGGACATTGCATGGACTCCAACCCATAGTGGTTTCTTTTGTCCTGATCACGAGCGTTCATCTTTCCACGTAGGAACCATCCAGCTCCTGGACAGTTATAGTACCGCAATTCTGTCACAAATCAATGGCCTGTTGAATGAAAACAACCGCACCCTGGATCTCTGCTTTGTGAGTGCTCGTGATACAGCTCCTTTCCTCTCCACGGCACCCGAACCTTTAGTCAAGGTAGTGCATCATCACCCTGCTTTAGTTATCGTGATCGAAAATAATATTGTCCATGATTTCACCAGCACTCCAAACGCTGTGTCATATGACTTCCGTAGAGCTGACCATTGCAGTATCGTCCATGTGCTGTCTAATCTAGATTGGGAGCATATTCTAGATCCTGTAGACGTCAACATTGCTGCACAAACCTTTTCTCACGTCTTGGCATATGTCATTGACAGACACGTTTCCAAAAAGATCATCCATATCGACTCTCGCGTCCCGTGGATGACGAAAGATCTTCGCTCGTTGAAAAGAACTAAGAAGGCTGCTCTCAGAAGATTTACTAAACTCCGCACACTGCCACTGAAATGCTACTATGTCATACTCAACCACGAGTATAAGCGGTTAAGTCGTCTCTGTTTTCAACGCTATCAAAGGAGGATTCAACGGCGGCTAAAATCACACCCAAAATCCTTCTGGAACTTCGTAAATGAGCAACGCAGGGAAGTCGGCTTACGCACAAACACAAAGCAGAGATGATAAGCAACAACAGTTACCGAAAAACCCAGCAACAACAAAACCGCATCAGCTAGAATCCACGCAAACAACTCCGGATCAGCCAAAACTGGACTCAAAACAAAACACAAAACTCTCTCAGAATACAGGAGCCAAAAAGAAATCAATCAGAAAATAGCATAGCATCGACCTCGTAACCAAACAAATCAAGGGAAATAACTCTACTCCGACCATCTCAGACTCAGAAGAAAACCACGAAGATATCACTGACTCC